GCCGAAGCCCGGATGCCTGCCATATACACGGCGTACTTTTCATGGGTCGCATTTGGCCAAGGGCGCCGGCTGTGCCGCTACGCACAGCCGCCGCGGCTTCCGCATCGGCCCGGTCGATTTCCTCATCACCACTCCGGACCCAGGGAGACAGGCCGGCGGCCTGGCGCTCGGGCATGTTTTCGAGGCCCGAGTGCTGGATGGCCGCCTCCGCCGGGCCCAAATGCTGCATGAAGCCGCCGGCGCCAGGCACCCCGGCCAGGGACTGGCCAGTGGCACTGAATCCCCCCGGGCCCGGGGCATGGCGCGGGCCTGCATCCGGCATGGGCATGTACTCGAATGCCCGGTCTCCGGCGTAGGCTACAGCTCCGCCACCCTGGGGGTGCATCGGAGGCGGGAAGTAGCCCGCAGCATGGCTCATCGTCGCCGGACCGGCTCCATGCATTGGGCCCTCGGACAGTTGGTGTTGCTGAAAGTATGGCCGAAAGCCCTCGACCCCGGCCGGGCCGCGGTCCGCATATGGGACCTGCTCGACGGATGACGTGTGGCCGCCCATTTGGGGCAGGGGGTTGGCCAGAGGTTCGGCCATCTTTCCGCCGTGACCGAGCTGCTGCTGCTGCTGCTGCGACGGCTGCTAATGCTGCTGCGGCTGCTGCTGCTGCTGCTGCGGATGGACTTCCGGCTTCATTGGACCGAACCCGCCACCGAGATAGCTCCCAGCTGTTGGGAGCTGGTGGTTGTGCGACATGGCGAGGAGGAAGGCGAGGGGGAGCACGACCGGGAGAATTCCAGTCCAGGGGAGGTGGTCCTCGGGGGAGAAGGATGTCAATGTACCACGAAAAAGGGGGAAAGGGAGGGGGTTGTGGATGGCACTTCATGCGAATGGCACTTCCTTTCTCATGAATGCCGCCTTTGGGACTGATGCCCCCTGGTGACCACTGCCGCTGGCAACATTACCTGCCCGAATCCGGGCCCAGACTAGCTGCCTGGCCGGCAGGCAAAAGCCAACCACGCCCGATCTCAGTGCGTCGGCCCGCAGCAACGCACGCAATCTGGCACCTGAGCCCCGGTGCTGTGCCTCGGGAAGCAGCGTGGCATGTCCACATTGACCCCACCTCGCGCCATGCTACCATCCGGCCTCCCCACGCG